CAAAGTAGCCAGGTAACAACTAACTCACGACTTAGCTGACAGAACCTCGAGAGTATCCTCCAACACGTCCTCACGCTATGAATGCTGGACCAAGACTGGAAAATGGACGCGACCCACAGTTTGGGAACCGCTGGCGTAAGGGAAGAAGCGATTCAAATATGCTTCAATTGTACCCTTAATTGATTTTTCAATATTGCAGGCATCAGGAGGACCCCAGGCTGTGGATGCATTGTTGAAGCTTGTCAAAGATGTTGAGGTAAAAGATCAGATTCACTCCTTCGCATATTTCTGAAGTATGGTGGTGATTTGATATGATCGATTATCGCCAGCAGAACGGGAATCACGATAATGGTACAGCTGTGCAGGAGGAGGAGCAAGAGTTGACCCTGGCTGAGAAAATGAAAGAGAAATGCAAGAAAATTGATGGATTTATTTGGCAACTCAGACGGAAGAAGTTGATGGTAGATGAAAAAAATCGTTTGGCAAAGTATGAAATTGGCGAGCGACGACCCGATGGAGGGGCGGGAAAGGTGCTCATGCTCTTCGGTGCCAGAGGAGCAGGTGAAAGCAATAACATTCTCAATTATGGTCTTACTAAAAAAGGGTCACTCGAAGAGTTGTAATCCTGTGTACCTAGGTACAAATTTGGCAGAGGAGTATCTTATTGCTATTAAAATGTAATTACTTAACATTAACATTGCAACCTGCACAGATCTTTCATTCAGTGCAACTCAAAGAAGGGTGCACTTCGTTTGGCACTTTTCTGAGATTGTCGAGGGAGTGAATATATTCATGACATACATACATGACAAGAGTCGCTCAAAAAGAGGAAAAATACTTTTATTTTCCCATTCATGAAAACCATTTACTTCTCAATAGAAAAATCCTCTATGCCAACATCCATACAATATTCTACCTTCAACAAGGACTTATTAAGTCCTCTCAGTACTCGAGCTGAGGACTTTCTTTCAAATAGGCATCTGGAAACGACGTTTAAGGGCAATGATTAAGAGAACTGTTCCAGTAACGTAAATCAAAACACTAATAAAATGCGATGAAACTACGCGAGCATGTCACAAAAAATGCAATTGCTATTCTCGATAATCTTCGCACTTTTAGCGCCTCTCAAATGTAAATTTGCTCTTATTTTTCTACTTAAAAAAATTGGCAACAGAATGGAAACAACATTGAAACTTTTAAGGCAAAACTATCATTGCTGTTTCGAACTGTTATCCAGGTATTCATCATAGATGCAAATTTACAGATGTCACAGAAACACACGTCCATATCCGTGTCGTGTTCTATGCCTGCATAGCTGTCATGTGCTGAATTCCGGTGACCTCACAGGGTTTTGAGTGAGAGAAAGAATCTGAACAGTAACACATCGCGTTGGCCTGAGCCTCACCATTGTAATGGATATTCCAGCCAGAAGAGAATAGGTATATAGAGCCGCTATACCGCCCCATTTAGCCCCCCCACCGTCACCCCGTTTTACCCCATCGGCACCGTCACCACCATAAAGACACTGCCAAACAAACGGTGAGTGAGCTATGCAAAAAATGACTTCATGCAATAGTTCACATTTTCACCTTCAACCAAAAAAATCGGACGCCTCCAATGTTCCAATGTTACTCTGTTTCGCTCATGAAAAACTCGAAGCCAAATACGAAAAGTCGATGCTTTCTTATTTTTTTTCCTGTGTGTTTGAAAACCACTTTAGAGAGCGCCGCCGTGCCTGAAAATTTGCATCGGTCGTGGGCGGTAATAATAGGGTAAAGAGCCGATAGATATCTAAATACATATATATATATATAAATCCTTCCACGGCACCTGCCGGTATTGGATATATCAGGGGGGATGAACCACATCCCAGACCTCATACTCGCCTAATTCTGAAGGACACCTTTTAAAAATCAACTGCTGAAGAGGACTTTGCAGGCTGGATGAAATCAAATTGTTGACCGGCAGTTTGACGTCCATGGCCTAGACCGACCCGAAATTCCCCTTCAAAGGGATGAAAGGGGACTCCAAGGGCTGTACGTGGGGACACGTAAAGAATGGGATGCTGCCTATAGCGATGAGCCACTGAGTTTTAGGACCGCCGAGTGAACTCGGGATTTCTTACCGAAGAGTTCGTAGAAGTCTTCCACTGGTCGGCTAGTTCCCTGTATGACGCCACAGGGCCGGAAAAAAAAGGATTGATGCAAGGCTACCTTGACCCATAGCATCATAGCGGTTGATATCAGTACGCGTTGCGCTGCAACCCCGTTGTTCGTCCTGACCTGTAAAAAAAAAAGTCAATAGATGAAAGTTCGTCTCCAAGAAATATGGCTGATCAATCTTGAAAAATTAAAATTTGAAATTTCTGAAAGTCAGTGATCCAGGTTTTTTTCAGGCCTCGCTGTAGCTCCTAAATAGAGAAATTTGATCATCTTTAAGGCATTGGAGTAAGTTAGGTTTACATAATTTTTGCTGATCCACAAGTAATACTTCATATTGAAACAATTGTTATTTTTTTACCTCAGGGAAGAGAACTCTCATCAACGGGATGGTGAATTATGTGTATGGAGTAAAGTATGAAGACAATTTCCGCCTGAAGTTGATCACAGATGAAGAAGATAAGAAGTCCCAAGCTCACAGTCAGACGAAGTGGATCACAGCATACGTCCTACACAAGCAGCAGGGATTCGCACTTCCTCATACCTTGACGATCATTGATACCCCAGGATTTGGAGATTCTGATGGCATCAAAGCAGATGAAGAACTGAGGAATCAGATAAGGGAGTTCTTCTCCAATGAGGGCAACATCGGTGTGGATCAGCTTGATGGAATCTGCATCGTTGTCCAGGCTTCCATTCCTCGACTGACAACCACTCAGAAGTACATGTTCGATTCCATATTGTCAGTGTTTGGAAGAGATGTTGAAGATAACATCTACGTGCTGACCACATTTTCGGACAGCAAACAGCCACCTGTCCTGGAAGCTATCAAACATGCAGAAATCCCCTATCAAACCCTTTTCAAGTTCAATAATTCTGCTCTTTACACTCGTTGTAATGACGAGGATGAAGTTGATTTCGACAAGTACTTCTGGGACATGAGCGTCAACGACTTTCGTAGATTTTTTGGAAGGCTTTTGAAATCGAAACCAGTTAGCCTGACACCGACAAATGGAGTGTTGGAGGAACGGCGACACTTGCAAGCTGCACTTCAGGGCATCCAACCGCAAATAATTGCAGGTAAAGTAAAATAGATTGTTTAATATTTAATACAAGACCACACCCGCGTCCCGCGGGATCCACTTCGCGGATAACAAAATGTCAACAGATATAGAACTCGTGGTTAATTTTTATTTAGCAGTAAGAGAAAATACAATCAGAAAGGGATAACGTTCGAATTTCAAAGCGCTATGCTTTGGATCAATAGTAGGGGACGCGTTACGTCATCAGGGAACCCTCAACTGGGTGTATGCACATTCTCAGCGAGATCCGCCTCGTAGCATTCAGGTGACACGCGTAGTTGAAATTTCGAACAACCGGACATTGGATAAATAATAATTTTGAGCCATGCACGAGATGCGGATCAGTTCTATCGAATCGACTCGACCCAAGAACCGGGCGGGCAGCTCGGTTGGAAATCAAGTTTCTTGTTGGGTGTAGGTGTAATACGCAATCACAGAATCAGAGGGTCTTTTTCTTCAACCGCTTACAGATGCTAGGGAACGTAGTGACATGAGAGCATAGAACAGGCCAGTACGAATGTGACGTTATGGGATAGTTAGAAGCGTCAACAGAGCCAGCGAAGCCGATTAGAAAAAGGACGAACCTGGAGATCCCGAGTTCTGAAGCTTAGAGGTCTATGCAGGGTGTGGACCAACCCGATTGGCCCGACACAACCCGCGGGTGGGGTAGTAAATGCTCGGTCCCGCAATCGAGTTGAGTTCGAAAATATCGACCCGTGCATGCCTCCAGACAGACAGACGGAGGACATCAGCTATTATTATATGTTAATAGATAGATCACACCTGCAAAGCGGATCCCGTTGAGTTGAGGTATGATTGCGTGATATTAATGTATTGATATAATGGTTACGTTCAATGTGCATTGTGCAATGTGTTCAATGGGCATTTTGGAGTAGCCATATCATATGCCCCACCTAGGCCATTGTTTGCTAGGTGTGCTATGACCTTCCCTTCAACGCAGTGGCGTAGGCAGGAAATCGGCAAGGGGGGTTGAGGATAGGTAGACGTCTACGCCTATCCTACGCCTAGCTCCACTACCCAGAATTTATCTTTCCTAAGAAATCATGGTCTAACATCTTGAAGGGGCATAGCTAAAATTGGAATTCGCAAGGAAGGTTGAAATATGCCTGTCAGTGTCACTGACCGGGAAGCCCAAGGGGGGGGGGGTTCAAACCCCCTAAACCCCCTTCAAACCCCCTTCCCTACGCCACTGCTTCAATGTGGTTACCCCATGTGGAACGTACGCGCGCACGCCACTCCAGGCTAGCCAGCCTACACCCCACACTTAACATTAAAGTTACTACATGTGATATATCACATGTAGCATTTGACAGGTGGTCCACTTCGGAAGTCTTTCCAGCATTCTGGTCGTTGGTGGTCTACTGTACATTGTTGTTTCTCTAGTCATCGGTGGCCCACAAACCAAGACTTTCGGAAAATCCAAGTCCTAGGGTTCTTTGATAATATTAAAAATAATTATTGTGGGGGACCTGATTGAACTAACCTCTCTCAATCCCTTTCTTGGCGACATCACACCCCCCTAATGATTCCAGGTAAAGGATGAGTTCCACCTACTCCAGGGAAAGGGTTAATCTCTTTAACCTCAGTGTCAGAGATAGGGATGTCATCAGGGACTCGAACCAATAAAGTTTGAGAACTCTAACCTATTCTCCTTTCTCATGAAGAAGGTTATGTCGTAATTGAAAAACTTTTCTCCCAATAATTCGGAATGAGGTTGTATCAGGAACATTGTTACGTCTGATAAGTGAACTAAGTATGCCACTTTGAACCAGTATGGATATCAGCACCAAACTTTGTACCTCCAAACAATCTTTGTTGATCCCATCACAAGTACCAATCCTCAGATTATTGCATGCCTGTGGTGGTATTAAAAATGAGGAAAATGCATGGCACCAACCCAGACATGCTTTCTCGACACCTCCAGGAAATTTGGTAGCGCTCCATGAACAAAGGCACCAATACTTTCTTAACCCTTTGAGGCGAGGTGGTTACACCGTGTAACCACCTTTACTTTATTTTACATTATTTTCCCCCTGCCCTGGGAACGGTGATTTCAAGGCGAAACCACTTGTAATGGCTGACCACAGATCTAGGGGTATAATTCCAAACTTTGAAATCACTTTGTTGGAATTGACAGGTTCTATGAAAGAAAAATTATGACATCAGAAATGGTAAATTCGTGGCTCAAAGGGATAAGCAAATTGAGAGGCATTCCTTCAGTCTTTAATTGAGGGTTGGACCTGTATCATTATATTTTGACCAGTTCGTCAGGTTCTTTGTGCCACAGTACTTTGAAGGGTTATGCCAATGTGTTATGAATAAACCAAGAACCAAATACCAATAAATACAGTATAGTGTGTGGACCACCGGGCTTATGTAGACCACCTAAGACCAGAATGCTGTTTTTCCCACGGGATTATTTTTAGTTCCCAGTAAGAGGGATTCAATTAGTAATCAGATGTAAACTGCGTCGTTGCAATCCATGAGACTGCGTAGTTCGATCCAAAGAGAGAGCGCTAAAGAAGTAGCATCCCAAAAAAATTAAATTTTAAATTAACTAGTCAATATGTTATATTTTCGTGGAGACCTACAGACCGCGACAATTCATGTGAGACCACTCTCACCTTTCTACCACCTCACCTTCATGGTCAGGTGATTTTGTTAACTGCGTAATATAAATATAGATAGAATTTAAAAAAATATTGTTTACAAATATTCTGATATGGTTGAAAAGACGACGACGTATGAAAATGAAAATAGAGTGGACATTTTATCTTTTATTCTTATGAATGAACAAGCATCTATACTAGGGATCGGATGCTTTTGTTCGAAATTATTATTTTTGCTATCTATTCGCTTTTCTAAAGAATTGGAGAGGTGCCAACATTTCTCTTAAAGACGTATTGCAAAGGAATCCTACATAGCATGTTGCTCTATTTTTGGACGCTTGGAAAATAAAATACAGCATACAATTACTGCATACATATTGAAACAGCATGTTTTTCGTTGCAGGACATATTTACATTTTATGCTTGATATGGTAATTTACACAATGCTGGATTCTGGATTGAGCCTGAAAATCACTTTAATCTTTCCTCTTTGCCAGTGAGTGGAATCAAGAAGCGAGATGGAAAGGCCGTCGGTCCCCACGAAGCGGAATTCCCACCAGCCATCGGAAGACAGCTCAGAATTACTCCAGCGCGCTTAGTGCGAGTTCTCTTGAAGTTATAGAAAATCATCGGTGGAAAATCCGAATTTCACAGTTCCATGCTTTCTGAAAAATGAAAACTACTCAGTGAATATTACTCATATTACTCACTTGCTCTAACGTGATACTAATGTAATAATAATAATAATAATAATGGTTGCTTCTTTTCCTCTGCGGAATTAGGGTGTGTCCAGTGCTCTGGCAGTCAATAAATAAAAGCAAGGAAAATATGAATAAATAAATCAAGGGAAGAAAAGACAATGGTCACGACAGGGCCGTTTCTAGGGGCGGGCGAAGCAGGCGATCGCTTGGGGCGCTAGCGGAGGAGGGGGGGGGGGCGCCGTGGAAAGAAACACCATAATAAAATAGGCATTTTTTATGTGGTTAGCGTCCACTTCATGCGAACTAGTACTAATCGGAACGATATAAAAATTAAAATTATTAATGATGTTATGCCGTGCTCCTCCTCCAGTACCATCGTACTGGTTAGTTTGAAAAGAGTTTCATTATCAGGCGGAAGCCTCCCCCTTCCAACTTTCCCTTCGTTTATGCATCATGATGCCACGCTGCGACTAGGCAATGGGTACCAAGTAGGACTGTCACGATAAGTCGATGCATCGATACCACTATGGTGATGGCTGGAAGAATAGATGGGAAATGCCCCATTGGATTGAGACGAGTACAATACAGTCCGGGTAGGGAAAGGAATAGGCGGCTTTCAATTTATTATCACGGAAATGCTGGGACTGACTATGTGAAATAATGGGAAAAAAAGAAAACCAGTTCCAGTCGGAGACATGAAGTGGGAAAGGAGAGGGACTGATAATATTTTTTTATCTTCTGTTTCAGTCTTCAGCTCGATCTCATGAGGTGCATGCTATGAAAGTGGACTTTTCTTATACTCCCTTCATTTCGAAACGTACATCGGTTAATCCCCCTCTCTATAATCCAAGCTTTCTCTTTAGTATGGAGGCTTAAGTTTTTTTTATTTTTAACCCTGGGGAAATTTACCTCTTAAGGTTAACCCAAAGTGAATTATTTACTATGACGTCGCTTGAATCTAGGACTATAGGGATGTACTGGCAACGGCAGGTGTAGCCCCATAGACAGGTTTCCTAAGAAACACAATAAGAAAAACAAGTATTTTTTAAATGGTTAGCGTGGAGGAAAATACCTTGTTTTGGCTTTGATTACATTGGATTCCGCTTTATTGGGCCATCGGTTAATAGGGGCAGGTATAGGGGCAGCTGGTTTATCGGGACATTTTGCCAGGAACGGAACCATATCTATGCGAGTGCATAAAAATTTCACCTTATATTTGGGACGAAAATCCACTTTATTGGGGTAAGGCCAGGGTGAATTTAAGCCGTTGGTCCCTGATGTTTTTTTCCGCCCTCTCTCTCCCTCCTCTTCGCCGTGTGTTTTGTTTTGTGTTACCGACTGTTAAAGCAGAGACCATAGCAAACTGCTTCCGTGGATCTGGCTTTCTTTCTGGACCAGAGGTGCCAGCGTCAACCTATGAGGAGGGTCTGACTATTCTTGATGTCACTAACGGAGAAACCAACATCGACGAAAACGCACCATGCTTCGCCGAACTGACTCTGAGGACGATATGACGATATAGTCGAGGACACCGTTGCCATGAGGCCTCGGATGTCGCAGACGAGGAACCTGAGAATTTACCTAAGGTGACTCACGTACGAAACCAGGAGCTCGGTGGACTACTCAGCGCTACTTTATTGAGCAGGGTTTGGATAATAGAGAATTTGCTCTTGGATTAAAATAATGGATTTGCTCTTGACATCAGTGCTTCAGAAAAGCTTTTTCGGATGCGAAACAAGCAACTATGGGCAAATTTCTTGAATTGTAATTTTTCGTTTTGCAAGAGTATGGACATTCATGTCTAGGTTTCTTACTATACTAAAAGGTAAGTTCGCTTTATTAAGGCAGCCGCTTAATTGGGACGAATAGACCTTGAACCAACGTGTCCCAATAAAGCGGAATCCACTTTATTTACAAATGTAACAAAATGACTTCCATCAGTTCCGGGGATAAGGCCCTAATCGCCAGAGCTGCGGTGGTGCTTCGCGTCGCTGTTGTTGGTTTGATGGGTGAGGATAGTTGAGTAATGAAAAAATCCTATTTTTTTAATGTTCTCTCAGGGCGGATAATGGAAAGGTAGCATTTCAAGATGAATTTTCCTCTCTGACAAAAAGGGCAGAAATGTATTTAACGTTAGGCACGCAATAAATCATCGGAGTAATGATTTCGATCAAAATCTCGGTAACTTTTTGCCACTTCGAAAGTGAATTAATGATTTAATCACTATTCTGGATAATGGAGTGCCGAAGGTGCGACCACAGCGAGTTTGTTCGATTCAACGAAACAGAGAGAGATAATACAAATTTGAAACTTGACTCAGAAGTACCTGTTTGATTGCCGAATGCAGGAAAAATCCTACATTTGAAATATGAAGGGCAAATTATGAGAGATTATGAGAGCTTACAAAAGTATTTCAGGTTTTTTTTTTCCCCTCTGACAAAAAGGGGCACAGAGAAATTAGAAGTTAGACACACAAGAAATCATCGGAGTAATGACTTCGATAAAAACTTTGAAAAAACTTCCCCTTATGGTTCATATTTCGACAGGGACGTAAGTTTTTTCCCTCTTCGAAAATGAATTAATGAATTAATCACTATCCTAGATAATGGAGCGCCGAAGGCGCGAGGATAGCTACATATATTCACACTGAAAAAACATGCCACCGGGGTAACAATTTGTGTCTGAAAACATGCCAGTGAAAAGGGTTAAAGAGGCTGTGTAAGCGATGTTGGACAGGGTCCGACATAGGACCGCAAAGGGTTAATACTCCCAAGCCAGCAGGAACTCATTGAATGTGAAAATTAAAAGTTCTTCCATAAAACACGTATCCACGTGTTTAAATTTCTCTGATTCTGCTTGCTTTCAAGTATTGAAAATATGGGAAGCTGATTTTTCCTTGAAGAGGATCACTCATTGTCTTGACCAGTCGGCCAATATGTTACTGATTGGCATTATTAGTTTTATGTGTAATATCATGAGTGTGCCTGACTCATGACACTCAGACAAGAGCACAGTTAAGCTTCAGTGTGTCTGCAGATATGGTTGATTGGGCCTGTGGTGCTCACCAAGCAATAGTTGTCAAATCTGGAGAATCAGAAGTGTATCCTAAGGCCCATCTCCCAAGGTCTTGCCACTCCAGGAATTCACCTTGTGTCCTTCAAACACCTGTCAAGAAAGTGCATAATGGAAACCATGTAATCAGTTTGTCAAATCTGGAGAATCAGAAGTGTATCCTAAGGCCCATCTCCCAAGGCCTTGCCACTCCAGGAATTCACCTTGTGTCCTTCAAACACCTGTCAAGAAAGTGCATAATGGAAACCATGTAATCAGCATTACTTTCCACCATCCTATACGATGATGAGTACAAACAGCAAGTGCATGATAATGAGGGCAGCCTACCATCTCTCCCCCTTCTATCAGTTTATCATGCTGAACTAAGCCTCCTTCAGTGACAACAGTTATCAACTACCAGCTTCCCACCTTCTGGGCTCTGAATGGGTCAACAGTTTCCTAAGTCTCATACAGGAGGTGTAGCCCCTTTTATGCAATGGGAAGTGAGCTCCCCCCACTTTCATGAAAAATTAGTTCACTACTAAAACAACTCATTAGTCTCCCTCCCACATCACTAAGGGACAAGGCATCATTACTCAGAGACTTACATCAATATCAGAGTTAGGAGTCAGAATCTTATATAATGAAGGAATCAAATGTCAAAGGTTTCACTTCCTAGAGCCTTCCCCTTTTTTCACTTCAGTTCCCATCAGAACCTAACAAGGGGAATTTCAAGAAATTTACAGTCACCAAAACATCACAATAAAACTTTTTCCAGATATCAGTCAATATTGAAAAGAGGAAAAGGAAAGGAACCACTTTTGCAATACTAGCAGATTAGCAGGATGTGGCTCCAATTTTGTTGAGAGGCTACAGGAGAACATGGTGAGGGGATGGGGATCAAGTGGGGATTTTCAGCTGCATTGGGATCATGATATGTGGCATGTAAGGGAGAAAAACCAGCTATGTCACAGGAAGTAAGCTGTTGGTCCACCATCTATATCAAGTAGGGGTCACACATCCAAATTCACATTCTGCCATTTCTTCTAACCCCGAAACTTCTGGGCTGCCAGGTGACTGACATTAAATAGAGCTTCAATCACTTACACACAACCACCACTGCTTCATATTTCTGCCATCTAATCCTTGGATATAAGCCACACCCTCTTTTTTTAAATGGTTGCTTTCTGATCAGTAAAAAGAAGATTATTAACACCCAATCTCCAACTCAACCAGAGAGATTTTGGTGTCTTGTAGATGGGTTGGGTCAACATCAAATCCTTAAATTTGAAACTACTGTTTAAAAAAATATATGGATGGGTACAGTAGTAGCCTGTGAACTCTACATTGGTTTCTTTTGGAAGTATTACATTCATCGATTCACATGCAGCCAAAGTGGAGCTACTATCACCAATGGTCAACAGTCCTCACCAGCAATTATCACTTTCTATCCCCTAACTTGCAATTTCTGGCACAACACACTCTGGATCTGCAGGTGAAGACAAAGGTTCACATTCGACCACTTCTGATTCTCAGTGAATCTTTTATGGAACAATTTTCATGGAACCAAGCAAACATGTGCTTGGTTAATGCTATCATCTAGGAACTTCACAGCTGCTTTAATGAGTGGCAATTGAGCAAGGACAGTGGCAAATGGTTATACAGTGTTTCCCATTGACTTTTGTACCTGTCGCATGATGTTAGCCACTAGCAGCATATTGCTTTGTACTCCTTTCAAAATTATTTGCACACCTTGCTGTCTCCTACTCCTTCCTCCTGCCCAGTGAGCAAGTACCACTCCAAATGACACATCCATCTGACAACCCTTGGAGAGGGGAATGCATGTTTCATTGATGGTCTTTAGAACGGA